TCCTTCTCTTTAAAATGTCCTCCTTCTACGCCCCCAGCAGATGAACTGAACCCTCACTCTCCAGAGCTCCCTTCAAACACTGACAGCCCTGGTTCCAAGAATCTTTGCTGTTATCACAGCCTCCATCGTAGTATCACTGCAGTTAGTCCATTATCCTCCATCTGAACCAAGAGCTTCTGGAGGACAGGGGCTATTTTTCATCTCTGTAACTCCAAACTCTGAAACATAGCAGTGAATGCTTCTAGTATTTTTATTGACTTAATCACCAAAATGATTATTTCTGGAATAGTGTTTCTAAAATTATATTCCAAAGAATACCTACTTTACCAGAAGTACAGTGGCCCAATAGGAAGATTCCAAAAAGATCACCTGTGTTTGAGACATATTACAAAACTGTGCTTTACATGCCTATTACTAAAGAAATGTTTCTCTTTGCTTAATCCCCGTTTGATAATACTTTTTGTGGCAAACATTAACATTTGAGAAGTTATAGAGTTTCAGGGATACAGTTTTTCGAGCTTCCCAACAGAGGAGAAGTTTTTCTCCAGCTTATACAGACATGCTTGCTTCTCTTCTATCAATGCTCTCAGGACCCCAGATGTCACCTTCAGGCTCTCTTGCTCCAAAATGGTCACTANTAAAAAAAAGAAATATGCACGTAACTAGCTGGATTGAAATAACTCATTATTTACTTTAAAATGAATACGAACAAATACAAAGAATATCTAAACATATTTTATCAATTACAAAAAGTAATCAATTTAATAGATTTAAGTTCCAGGTGAAATTTTTGCATTCTGGTCGCTTTGAAAAGTTTACAATTCCTCCCTACGTCCATTTTCATTAAACTGTTTTGAGTAGAGTGTGATTCAAAATAAGTCAGGGAGTCATCACTTTCAGAATGATGAGGAAAGGAGGTTGAAATCATCTCCACTTTCAAAAAGAAACAAAGTTGGACAAAATTGTTTAAAAAAACAAACCTTTCAGCACTCTAGAAATCAAATGGGAACCTATAACAAACTAGGAAGTGTTTATTCATGAAAACCACTGAAGTTCAGGTAAGAACAGCCTCAGTCTGTGCTGCTAGGCTCCCACATCCCATTCAAGGGCTTGCAGCCACTGACAGGGGAATCAGGTAACTTGATGCTAACTTGTTGAGAGTTAAAGTGGTGAGCTCAATAGTCGGCAAACAGAGTTCTCTAGCCTGGGGCTGTAGTCCTGTTTGAAGCTAATAACAGAAAGAGTAGTTAGGTATTTCACTGCAAACTCTGGTAGATAAGACAGCCATGTGGGTTTTGTAAATGCTCCATATATTCCAGATATACCAGAGGCATGCAGAGCAGAAACTGAAGCTGGTTCAAGCCCTCCACACATTCATGGTTGCCAAACCCTGTAAAAATGCACAAAGGAGAAGCAAAAAAAAACACACAAAAAAAAACCCATGAGAAAGCAAAAACCAGGGCAGACTTGAAAATGAGCTGAACATTGAATGTACTTGAGATCCCACACACAAATCAGTAGAGTAGAGGGCCTGACTTGATGGGGTTTGAACATAACCTCTGTCCATCTTTGGCTAAATGCTAAGCTGTGCAGACATAGCAGCAACCCTTAGGAAACAAGATTTAAAATTTTTTAAATGAACAGAGATATCAGTGGCTGCACACTGTAGTACAAACAGATTTCATATATTTACTGGAGGCAAGTTATTACACAAAACAAGAACAATCTTTTGGGGAGAAAATCAGACTCTGTAATTGCTACATTATCTGAAATTCAACAAGGTTACAAAAGTAAAGAAACAAAAAAGTGTGACACTTACTGAGGAAGAAAAACATTACTAAATAGAAACTGTTGTGGACAGAAAAGGGGCCACATATTAAACCTGACAAGCTCAAGAGACTGAAAAATAACCACATTAGATGGTCTGAACACAAAAATTCCTAACTAAAAGCGAGTCATGGCCGCTAGTCACATCCTTGGCGTGTAGCTTCCTTGACAAAGGTTAATCTTTACCTTAAGTGAGCCTGTCTGTTGTCTTTTTGCATCTAAGATAATATACCCTTGCAATATCAGAGTAATTTCTTCTTCCAGACCCCCCCAGGGGACACAACTCATCACACCAGGGCAGGAAACTACAAAATCCCTCATCGTTATCTTGCTCCCAAATATTATCTCTATGTGCTGTAAAATGCTTTTAACTATCCTGTATCCCATCAATGTAAAAGAAGTGTGTGTCTCTCCATTTTACTTTTTTTTTTTTTTAGATTTTTTTGGGGAATTGGGGGAGGGAAACAGTGTTGGGGAATTGGGGAAGGGGAACAGCCAAGTTGTTCTCTTTCAATCTTAGTTGTGGAGGGTACAGCAAGCTCAGCTCCAAGTCCAGTCATGCCGCTCAGCTCAAAGTGCTGTGTTCAATTAGTTGCAGGTGGGTGTAGCCACCACCCCATGCAGGAGTCAAACCAGCAGCCTCATTGTTAAGAGTTTCAGTTTCGGGGAGAGAAGTCTCCATAACTTCACCAGTGGAGAGTGTGGCTGAGTGAGTCAGAGAATTGCTGCACTCCCAGGGGCTCCTCTTAAAGGGACTGCACATGGACTTACTGATGGACTCACCTGCTCTGAGCTCCAGCGCTGGAGTAGTAGCTTCAAAGGTGCCAGGAACATATGGGAGGAACTGAATTGACTAATTTCAGGGTGAGGGCTGGAGAGGCAGCTTTCTCCCAAAGGAGCTGACAGAAACCATTGTTTCTGTTGAGCCCTTCCCCTCCCTGTGTGCAGATGCAGGCAGATGTCATATCTAAATCTCCATCAACCTGACTAACACTGTTCATTTGCCCTGCCCTAGTGATTTCCTGAGACCATGCCCTACCCAAGCTGCTTACAGTGGCTTTTCCATATAAACAGCCTGCTTTAGCTCATGCTGGGTGCTTTCCTAAAAATTTCTCAAAGGATCACAAAACCCCAACAAGCAGCATCTAAATTTGGCGTGTTCCAGACCTCTGGCTGAGCATCCCGAAGCCAGCACGAGGGATAGTCGACCTTGATTTGTGGACTGGACCCTCAAGTCACCTCCACACACAGCATGGGCAGTGGCCATCTCTGGATTGCTTTGTAGCTCATGCCAGGTAGCTCCAGGTAGGGCAGACTGCACATAAACTTGGCCTGCAGCAGGTCCCCTCCCAGGAAGTCCTGGGACTGGCAGGCTAAGTGGCCAGCTTTGGAATGGGCCAGAGCATCACCTGGCCACCGCCAATGATGACACACCCAAAGGGAAGACTGGGCAGGTACCAGAGCCCTGCTAGCATGAACCCTACTCTGTAGGGTCAGCCCTTGCATACACAGCTCCTCCACTGTAGTCATAACCAGTCCTCACAACCAAACCTTAATGTCAATCCTCCCATTGATGTGCAAATAGCAATCAAGTTTCAACTACAATAGGAGAGCACACACAATCCACACAAGGGACACACTTGGAGAACCCAGCTCTGGTGACCAGGGAGACTGCACCACTGGGTCCCATAGGACACCTACTACATAAGATCACACTACTAAAACTGGGAGGCAGTGCTACATAGAAACAAACACAGGGAGGCAGCCAAAATGGGGAAACAAAGAAACATGTTCCAAATAAGAGAACAAAGCTCCAGAAAAAGAACTAAACAAAATGGAGACAAGCAATCTACCAGATGCAGAGTTCCAAACACTGGTTATAAGGATGCTCAATGATCTCAGGGAGAACTTCAACAAAGAGATAGGAAACATTAAAGCAGAGATAGAAAACATAAAAAANCCCAGTGTTATTCTTCTCGAAATTTTGACTCCCTGTTAAATGCATTCTGATCCTCTTCCACTGCGTTCACAAGACCTTTCTACTATTAAAACACTCACTGACAGGATGATAAAGTAGGAAGTGTACGGGCTTAGAAACCTGAATTTAAATCTCATTTCCATCACTCACTATATGCAAATAAGTCATTTTAATCTCTTTGAGGTACAGATTCTCCATGAGAACAACCACTTGAACAAAACATTAATCACAGCATGAGTTACTAGAGTGTGTTTTGAATAATTAATCGCTAAGATTCCTTAAATCCCTGAAATTGCATGTGCTTTTGATTCTGTCGATAGAAACATGGAGAATACTTAGTGAGCAGTAATGGGAAAAATAACAGAATGAAATAAACGCCAAGAAAAGTAGAGAAGAAAGTAAAAAATCAAGAAAACTCATGGAAGAGCAAAATACTCTAGGAAAAAAAGAAAGAAACTTCACAGAACTAGGCAAAGGTAGCAGCCTGAAGGGAAACCCAGACTGGGGAGTCAGTAAGTAAAGAAAGCAATCCTCTGAATTGGTGCTGAATTTAAGTAACACAACATGGTCTATACATAGATCTCACTTACAGAAAAATAAGTCATCTCCAAAGGGTAGATAGCATTATACCTACAACCATCTGCCTGATCAGGTCTTGCTTATATAGCCTGTGGTTCTGTGGCCACAGCTGACATCTGCCCTAAATTCTGATGCTGAAAACAAGGTTCCCAATACTGCTACAACTGTCCAGTATATTAAGACAAATGCTTGGACTAACCAGGCTTCTTAGGAAAATGAATCAGCTTTAACACATAACTAAATTGGACTGTCTGAGCTCATCTGACCTGCATCTGAATCTTGACTCCAGAGCTGCCCAGGAATTTCTCTGTATAGGCTGAGGGACAAGAGAATGGCTTGCAGAGGCCAAGGAGGCTGAAGGTCAAATTACAGGTCAGCCACTGTTAACTGTGGAACCATGGGTCCATTAATCAGCCTCCCCAAACCATAAGTGTCTAATTAATAAAAAGTAGGCTATGACAGCACAGCTCCTTTGCAAATCTATTGTGATGACTATATAACAAATGGTAAGCACATAATATAGGGTCTAACCTAAAGTAGAACACTCAACAAATGTTAGTTTCCCTTCTCTGCAGTCCCTTAGTTAACATATGACTTAAAAACCATAAAATCCTACCTGCTTACAGAGTCTTCTTCAGAACTCTCATCCACTATTAAAGAAAAAAAAATACATTTTAAATCCACAATAGAAAGAAACAGAACTGTAAAAGTATCAGACTGATGCCGTGTTAAAAAGCATTCCTTTGGGACAATACCTGAACACTATACTAGAATGAATATTAAAGATACTATCGGTAGACAATTAACACATGAAGAACTTTCACTTCCCCACCTTTCTATATGTGAAATCCAAGGGAAAAAGAATGGGATGTATCAAATTTTAATACTTAAAAGTCAACTCCTATTTACAATATTATAAACCTAACCAAACCCCATGAGACTGAGAGAAAATGATACCATTAGTAGAATCAGTATCATAAACTGACAAGGGCAATTGTAAGTTGCTTGATACTCCTGACTTCTATCATGAAGCCCAGTTATAACATTGTACACTTATTTGGCTGTTACACAGTACGACGCATCCAGCTCTTCAGTCAAGAGTGTCCAGTTTAGGATGAAACACCCTGTCATAAGGAAGCTTCTTTGATACGCACTATACTCTGCAGCTCTGCAAAACACAGGAACCAGACTCTTTCTGCCATATCTCCAATTGCAAGGTAAGTATAAAGGACTTTGTGATTCCAGTGCTTTCAAGTACAACCCCTTAAGACTGTTTCCGTCCATTGCTAGAGAGTCTATCTGGACCCACCTCATAGAGCAGGAAGGTCCAAACAGTGCTGTGCAGTAGCATGTGATGCCATTCTTTTTCAACCCTCCCCATTATGTGGCAAATGTATATAGAAATCGTGCTTTTTTTATTAATAGCTTGTAAGGTATACACGTGTCATCAGATCCTATGCCGATGAACAACAGCAACAAAGAACAAACAAACAAAAACCCACAAAGGACAAACAGGTTATCCTGAATAACTACATTCAATGACCTTGGAATTTTAATTTTTTAAACATTAAAAAAGATACCCACTGTATGATTCCAACTATATGCCATTCAGAAAAACACAAAATTATGGAAATAGTGAAAAGATCAGTGGTTTCCCAGGGTTAGGAAGAAGGGAGGGCTGAGTAAACAGAGCACAGAGGATTTCTAGGGCAGTGAATCTATCCTGTGCGATACTAGAATGGTAGACATGTCATTATACATTTGTCAAAGCCCATAGATTGTACAACACCAAGAGTGAACTCTAATGTAAAATACGGACTCTGAGTGATAATGGTGACTCAGTGCAGTTCATCGGTCATTATAAATAGGCCACTTTGGTGCAGATGTCAACAATGAGGGAGGCTCTGTGTCCGAGGGAAAATGGGCTGTATGGGGACTTTCTGTACTTTCTGCTCAATTTTGCTATGAACCTAAAACTGCTTTAACAAATAAGGCTTAAGAATTAAAAAAAAAAAAAAAGATATCCACTGAACCTGCTATTACCATACGAGTATATTAATATACTAATGCTATTTTCAAGACACAGCCACCTTGAAAATTAAGATAAAGACCTAAGTATCAGAATATGGGTGTTATCCACCCAATTGAATGAATCATATGAAAATCCATAAATAAAGCAAATCATTTTAATTGCATACTTAGGCAAGAAAATAACTGATAAATATGATTGAACACCTTGCTTTATCATTATGAATAGGGATGTCATGCAAAGTGAATCAAACTGAATCATCCCTATACTTAAAGGACAATTTTATTCTAATTTTAAATCAGAAATCATTATGCTGATTCTATCTAAAAGTAATAGTGAAAGAATAATCAGATAAAAAAGTATTATAATTACCAAAGTAATTTATGTACAAATATCTGTTAAAGATTCACCAAAAGGCAAAAAAGTAACCAGCACTGCAATTTATTATGGATGGTGCAAGGAAACCAGTACCATGGCATGTCATCATATTACATGCTATTAAAGTAAAATTTTAAGACAACGCCAAATATTAAGTCACGGCTATAACTGCTGAGCAGGAAGATTTCATGCCACAGGCTTTTGAAGACTGCTGTCCTTCAAAAGTCATGCTTGAATGGCCCTTGGTTGGTGTCTGGAAACCTGGATTTGGGGAGGGTTCCCACCATTCCCTAACGAAGTGTGGCTAAGCTGTACAAACACGGGGCCTAAGGTGTTTGTACAAACAAGGTACTTTCCTTCTGGGAATCTGGAATGTTGGTACGTGCTATGGGGAGGTTGCCTATGTGGCTGGCGTGCCATAAAAGCATTAGGCACAGAATCTAAGGAGACTCTGGTACTGCTAGACAGCATTTCACGTGTGGTGCCAGATTTTGACACAGGGGGAATTAGCACATCCTGGTCACTCCACAAGGAAATGACTCTTGGAAGCTCTCTTCTGGTTCCCTCCAGCTTCTGTCCCACATACGTTTTCTCTTTGCTGATTTTGCTTTGACCCTTTCACTGTAATACATCATAGGCATGAGTAAACTGTATGCTGAGTCCTGTAAAGTTTTCTAGTGAATAACCAAACCTAGGTGTGGTTTTAGGAACCGCTAACAAATTGCATTATACTAAATTTTTATTATTTGGGTTGATGTTTTACATAGTTATAGTCAAAAGGTTATTTCACAGAATACCTGTACTTGAATTTGTTTTTCCTGATACTTGTTTTGGAGAATCCTGTAGATCTATATCTATTTGAACAAAGGCATAAAAGAGAAAATTAAACAATGATGTCAGAAAATAATGTGAAATAAGTAACATTCCTATTTTAATCAGAATAAAAAATAGAGAACTTTAATGACAATATGCTCTATAGTATAAAAGTTCCTATAAAGAAAATGAAGAAATCACACTGTTAATTTTCTCCAACTAAGAAGGGTTTAATTCCTTTTTATAATAGTTATGAATCAATCAAGTAACTGGAATAACTATACAAAAACATATAACTATCAGCCATCGTATAATAATGTACTACTATTTATAGAGTTCATTTTGTTTCTAATCTTTTTCTTAATTTCTTATAAAACTAAAAACATGCCTCACCTATTAAAAGGCAGTAGTTGATAGAACAAGTTAAAAAAATTACTGTATTTTGCAGTGTATAATGTGCTCCCAGGTATAATGCACACCCACATTTTTGGCCCAAACTTTCAGGAAAAAAAATCTTTTGTTTTAATTTTTTAATTCAAATTTCTATGTTCACACTTAGGAACTTGTTTTTTGTATTATAAAGGAATTTTAGCACTTATTTTTTAATATATTATGGTACAATAAATTTTATGTAACAAATAATTACAGGGCCGGCAGAGTGGCTCGGGGGTTAAGAGCTGGCTTGGGATGCCAGAGGGCCCCGGTTCGGATCCCACAT